GGAATGAATGAATGACAGATTTCTCTTGCAACCCACTGAAAGTTGCATATATATATATATATATTCTTGATTTCATTAATTAAGCCGAAAGGGGGTCATAGGAAGGGAAATAGGGGGTTTTGCAGAGGGGTTTGGGAAGAGGGTTTCCCCTGGTGGTAAGGGAGTTGCAGAAAGGGGGAAAGGGAAAGAAGAGATAGATTGAGAAGGATATATCTATTACTTCAAAATAATTCACCACATCAATTTTTTTATAATTATTTCGGTAAAACTTTATTTTTAAACTACTAAAATACAACAACGGTTAAAATTAAATTATTTAGGCCCTTCCATTTTTAAACAAAAATTTGGGTCTTCTGTGAGACCAAGGTCGACAGACCCAAGAGAGAGAGAAAGAGAGAGAGAGAGAGAGAGAGAGAGAGAGAGAGACCGAGAGTAAGAGAAAACCTGGGAGGGTGCGGCGGTGGTCGTCGTGATTTGCGACGGCGGTGGCGGTGGCGAGCGGCAGTGGTCTGCGCTAAGGTGAGGTTGGGTGAGGTTTGGTGCTTACAGAATCTGTGTGTAAGAGAGAGCATCAGATGTGTAAAAATAAACAGGCGCCAACATTTATTCATTTCCCTCTATTTCATTCAACCTTTAGCGACAAAACTACTAATTTGTCCAAAAATAGTGGCAAATGTTATTAACGGCGACCAAACCATTAGTCGCCAAAAGTGAATATTGGCCGACTAACTTCCTGGTAGCCAAAGACGAACAGTAAATGTCTGTTTTGGGTTGGAAACAAAATACATAAATAAGTAATAACGAATCGCGACTGAATATTTTAGTCGCTAATTATTTTTTAATCCCTCCAAAATTTGAAATCTCCCTCCAAATATTTTATTTTTTGCGACTAAAATATTCTTTTGTAGCTAAAGATAAAAAATAATATTTTTCTCTTCATTCGGCTACTAAACAATTTTAGTAGCTAAAATTAACTATACGACTACTAAAATATTCTTTTGTCGTTGAAAAAATACTTTTGGCGACCAAACTTTTGGTCGCCAAATATAAAAAATAATTTTTTTTTTTCATTCAGCTACTAAACAATTTTAGTAGTCAAAACTATCTATACGGCTACTAATTTTTTTTTTTTTAGTCACCACTTGTGATATTTTTAGCAACTAATTTTTTTTTTTAGTTGGCAATAATTAATATTCCCAACTAAAAAAAATTAGTAACTAAATATTTGACTTTTGCCCAACTAATATCATTTTTTAGTCACCAAAAGTGGTCGCCAAAAGTGCATTTTGTTGTAGTGGTTGAACTACAACAAAATAGGATTTTGGTACTAGATTTATGTTTTAGAAGGCAATACCAAGCTAGGAAGGATGGTGGGCATCGTAGGACGAGATGGTGGGACTTAAAAGGGGATAAACTAGAAATATATAAGAATCGAATGGATAAGAAAGGTACTTGGGACTTCGAAGGTGATACTAACACTATGGGGAATTCGATGGCCAATTGTATGAGGAGAATCTCAAGGGAAGTGCTTGGAGAGTCGAAAGGAACGGGACCCAGCTCTAGGGAAACTTGGTGGTGGAGGAAAGAGGTCCAAGCGGTAGTTAAGGCAAAAAAAGAGTGCTTTAAAAAGTGACAGAAGGATAGAACTAAGGAAAACCTTAAGAGCTATAGATTGGCTAATAAGGAGGTCAAGAAAGTAGTGAGAGAGATTAAGTTGAAAGTTTATGATGACCTATACACTAGACTAGATAGTAAGGAGGGAAAAAAGAGGGTATACAAACTTGCTAAGATACGGGAGAGGAAAACAAGAGATTTTAATCAAGTAAAGTGCATCAAGAGTGAGGATTCTAAGGTATTGGTGAAGGACGATGAGATTAAGGAAAGATGGAAGAATTATTTTGAGAAACTGTTAAATGAGGAACATGGAAGTACGACAATAGGGGAAGAAATAATCAGTAATACGATAAACCAAGACTATAGGTTCTATCGCAGGATTAGAAATTTTGAAGTGGAGATTGCACTTAAGAAGATGAAATCAAATGAGGCTTTAGGACCTGATGATATCCCTATTGAAGCTTGGAAGTGTTTGGGTAAAAAGGGAGTTGCTTGGTTGACTAGGTTGTTTAGTAAAATTTTGTTGACTAGGAACATGCCAGATGAGTGGAGGAAGAGTATTTTAGTGCCAATCTATAAGAATAAAGGTGATGTCCAGAATTGTAACAACTATAGAGGAATTAAGCTAATGTGTCATATAATGAAAGTATGGGAGAGGGTGATGGAACGCCGATTGCGAGACATAACAGAAGTGTCAGAGAATCAAATTGGGTTTATGCCTGGTAGGTCAACAATGGAAGCGATCTATCTTTTGAGGAGAGTAATAGAAAAGTATAAAGAAAAGAAAAGAGACATTCATATGGTGTTTATAGATCTTGAGAAAGCATATGACAGAGTGCCCCGAGATATAATATGGTGGGCGTTAGAGAAGAAAGAGGTGACAAAAGGCTATATTGACGTGATTAGGGACATGTATGAAGGGGTGGCGACCACTATTAGATCGCCAGCTGGAGAAACAAATGAATTTCCTATCACTGTAGGGTTACACCAATGATCTACCTTAAGTCCTTATCTTTTTGCTTTAGTTATGGACGAGTTGACGATAAATATTCAGGATGACGTGCCATGGTATATGCTTTTTGCAGACGATATTGTGTTAGTGGATGAGACTAAAAAAGGAGTTAACATAAAGTTGGAGATTTGGAGAAAAGCTCTTGAATCTAAAGGATTTCGAATAAGCAGAACTAAGACAGAGTACATGGAGTGTAAATTTAATAACAATAATAATGAAAGCAGAGGAGAAGTGAAGATTGAGAACCAAGAACTGCCTAAGAGTGAACATTTTCGTTATTTAGGGTCGATTATCACAACAGCGGGAGAGATTGATGCAGATGTGGCCCATAGGATTAAGGCGGGATGGTGTAAGTGGAGAAGTGCGTCTGGGGTATTGTGCGATAAACGAATACCCACTAGACTAAAAGGTAAGTTTTATAGAACGGCTATTAGACCAGCTATGTTGTATGGGACGGAGTGTTGGGCAACCAAGAAACAACATGTAGATAAGATGAGTGTGGCTGAGATGAGGATGCTAAGGTGGATGTGTGGTAAGACTAGACAGGACAAGATTAGGAACGAGTGTATTCGGGAATGGGTAGGAGTAGCACCGATAGAAGATAAGTTGAGAGAGAATCGTTTGAGATGGTTTGGTCATATTCAACGGAGACCAACAAATGCAGTAGTGAAGAGATGCGATGCTGTAACGGTAGATGGAATTGTTAGGGGACGGAGTAGGCCTAGATTAACGTTAACTAGCGTTATAAATAGAGATATGAATCTACTTAATTTGACTAATGAAATGGCCTTTGATGGGACTTAAGGCTTGGTTTGGTTTGGTTGAACTATTTTCGATTTGACTGATTCGTTGGTTTAATAGTGATCTTAACAGTTTTATCAAAATATATTAATTTAGATTTGTTTGATTCGAAATAAACTAAAAATTGACCTAATTAAAGATTAAATGATTGATATTATTTGATTCGAAATAACTTTCCACCCAAACAATTATTAATGTTTATTTTATATAATCCCACATCGAAAAAAGAAGGAAAAAATGATTTATTTCAATTATGGAAAGTAAACATATGCTCCTATTTAATTGTAGTCTTGTGCATATTTCAGTTGAAAATAGTTTACATTTTAAAATAAAATTAAATTAAAAAATTTTAATTAATTAATTTTTGTGTAATTTAGTTGGCATTTTGACCGATTTTAATGATTTTATCAATACGTGTTGTTTTATTTCTAAAAGGATATATTTAAGTTTTACGACAAACTTTAACATAAAATAAACTAAAACAAAAAAATTCATAAAATGAAATTTATTTTTATTTTCTTATAAATATATATTTTTTTAATTTATTTTTAATTATTTATTTAACTCATGCATTGCATAAGTTGATATGCTAGTTAGGCTATGTTGGGTATCATCTTTTTGGGCTAAAATAGTCGTACAAAAAAAAAAAAAAAAAAGAGCTCAATAAGAAAAAATATTACATCTAAATTATAATCATTTTATTTTTTCTCTCACAAAAGTCAAAAAAATCGAAAATTCTATTCCAAACGAGACTTTTTGACCTCAAATTAAAATAGTCAAAAAATTAAAAAGTCAACTCATATTTCAAACGAAGGCCTAAGACAATTTCCAACGGTGAATCAAATTCAGTATCAAATTTGAATTTGATGAAAAAAGTCACTTTTTTGGCTCCAACGACCGATATCAAACTGAGAACAGAACAAAATTTTCATCAAATTGAGAATCTGCAGGAGCCTTCACCAATTCACTGTGCTGTAACGTTGTAAGTGGGGCCACGGTCAACCTGTTGGACGTCCGGCCAATCGACCGGTAAAAAGTTCAAACAGTTCAAATATTCAGATTCAAACAAATAAAAAAATATATATATATACATATATATATTTGTCTTACCAGTCGACCCTTGCCTTTGATGACAATCATTGGAGCAATCTATATCAAATTAAGAAAATAGTCTTTTTTTTACTCAGATTTAATGAAAAAAAAATTAAGCATTAGAGATGTTCTAATATTACTCAAATAAATGTATTTATTTAAGATGTGAAACAAATTCTTAATTTAAGAAATTAAAAAATAAATCCAGTGGGGGGGGGACAATTGGGCTTTGAACAACAATAATTCGCGCCATTAAAAAAAATTTATTACTAACATTAATGAATTAGAAATGTCAAAAAAAAAAAAAAAAATTATCCACTGTAATGATGCTAATATCCACTGTCACATATTATTAAAACATCACTTTTACTGCACTCAACCATTTGTAAACTTTGAAAAATGTGTACTAGCTTTCTTTAGCTTCGTACGTGCGGAAGGTCGCCGTTCTCACGTGCCAATCCACTTTGCTCTCATTGGATGTAGTGATGCCCCTTTAATACGAGCATCTCTCTTTCTCTCTCTCTCCCCCCTCGCAATCTCAAATCTGCATATAACGGAGGAGGTTTTGTAGTTTCTCACTTTACAGCTCTACTTTGATTCCTCTCAGCTCTGATCGCAGATCGAATCAAGGTCTGTGTTTCTTCTCTGATTCTATTTTTCTATTTCTTTTCAATTTTTTTTTACTCAACAAAAAATTAACTGAATAATCAAAGAAAATGTGCTCACAAATTCGATTACTGTTCTTTATTTTGTTCAATATTTATGGTCTCTCGTCTCGATTTAAACCATACATTACGTATTTTCGTCTTTAAATTTTGCATTCTAGTGTTTCCGAAGCTGTAGTATCTCCAACCCTGTAAATTTATGTAATGTTTATATGCTAATAATTGGGGCTTTTAGGTGCAGAATTTTGAGAAATATCAAAGCTTGAATGGAATTGGGCCGGTTAGTTGGGTGTTTTGTTTGTAATTGAGTTGAGGGTAGCTGAGACTCTTAATTGGGCTTGCAAGTGACTTGGAATTAACAAGTGAGTTGGGTGAAGGGATTCTAAGGTTGTTTTTTTGGATTCTAAGGTTGTTTTTTTGGAACTAGTCCACACTTCTTTTATTTTATTTTCTGAGTCGATAGGCGAATTTATTTATTTATAAAGTTAAGTTGGATGTGAGGCAAAACAAAAGACAGGAATCTAAGTATGTAACACAAGGGATTTGTGATGAAAACTAAGAGTGCGACAGCTATGCAGTACAAGCGAGCCGAAGTCAGCGAATGGGTTGAATTGATGGTGAGCAGCAGGTGAAGGTAGATAATAAAGGATAAACAGCGTGTGAATCTGTTTCCGGAATTGTTTTATGGTGGCCCATAATTTAGCTACCATACTATTAGTCAAACCAATGCATTGTGCAAAACCCATAACCCAGTGGCTAGATTGATCTCTAAAGACGCCTGCTAGGCTGGCTGGACCTGGTGGCCCAAGAGCACAAAAATTAGTTTAAGAAAATCCAACCTGGAGATGTCCATCTGAAAAGGATTTTACACCGAGAGGGCAGAGGTTTGGTAGTGAAGCCTAGAAAGAAGTATTCCATGGTTTGTTGGAGTATCATTTTAATGTGACGGTTGATAGACTTCGCCTAGTGCGAGAAAGCACTGAATTCAATCCTTAAAAGGAAGGACATTGTAGATTTTATGATCAACGGTGGATGAAGTCAATTCCATATATGTATAGATTGCGGCCATACACAATCACAAGGGCATGTATAGAACTTTCATCCGCTTGGTTACGTCGGTGGTAAAGAAATGATGGGGAGATCCAGTTTAACATGATCGCACAAATATATGTGTGTGCAATGCTATAGAAAGTAATTATTATTATTTTTTGGGGGAGGGGGGGTAGTGTTTGTGCCAAAGCTAAGCAGGATACCACAAATTTGATCAAGTAAGGTAGGTGACAGTGTGTGAGTGAAAATATCTAGTTTTCATATTCCTATAGTTCTAAGGTCTTTGATTTGGAGAGTTTCCCATGCAAAAGGCAGAGAGGCAATGAAAAGGTGGTGAAGGGGTCCTTGTGGGAGTCATTTGTCATACCAAAATGACTTGTATGAGTGAAAGCTGATTCTCTATTGGATGTCTATAAGAAGCGTATCACGGGCTTTGAGAATTTGCTTCTAGAGAGAACTGTGTGTGGTTTTGGGCTGGGCTACCCAGAAGGAAGAAAACCCTCTATCTATTTTGGGGGATGTAACAATGTTCCATTTAAAAATAAGTTGAAGCTCATCCCCTAACATGAGTAGAATGAGGCAAGAATATTTGATAGCGTAAGACAATCTTTGTGGTGGCACAACAAAAAAGTGGATATCATCCGCTAAAAATGAGTGCAAGTCACCTAATCCTCCTTTTGACACTTCAATAGGGTGAAGTTTGTGAGCTTCACAAGCAGAAGTAAGATCCAGTGAGAGCTGGTTGATCCATAAAATGAAAATATATGGTGATAAGGGTCCCCTTGTCTAACACCATATGTTGGAAGAAAAAAAAGAGTGGATGGCATACTATTCCAAAGAATAGAGAAAGAGACCGTAGAGACAAATAGCATCACAAGATTAGTAGAGTGCTTGGGAAGACCATGTTGGGCAAGTGTTCCATAAATGAGAGACTCAATCAACGGTTTTGAGCGTGAGATGCATTTTTCGAAATGAGCATCACATTTGTATTATTTAGTCCTTTGGAATTGAGCATGAGCAAAGATGTTGCAAATTGTAGAGCAAATAACATGATCAATGATTGGCTAACACCTTCGAAAGAATCCAAAGTGATAACCATTCGATGTTGCATCACACAATTCATAGAAGTGCATCAAAAGCTTTACAAAGTTCTCCGTTGAATTAAGTAATAAACTTTGTTTTATATAGACTACGGATATTTCCTTGACCTCTAAAAATCGATTTAAGACCAAATAAAACTTATAAATCATATTCAATACAATAAGGTACTAAAGTTTACTTTGTCCATAACTCCTTCCTTTTACAAACTTGGGGTGCCCCTTAGGTCCAAACCAACCCAAGTATTCTCACATAGAACTTATATACACATATAAGTTATCTTTAAGTTTCAATTTGGGACAACCATTTCAAGGAAACTCACATTTTACTTTTTTAATTGTCCATTCCACGAACCCAAAACCGACGTCAACTTCCCATTCACTCATAAATGGTTTTGACGAACCGTTTTCACCGTGTGACTTGCCATGCGGTAAGTAACACGTCACCTCTTTGAACCCACTCCAAAAGACGTGTGAGCTCCACTCAAATTTGGATTCAAAATAAACCTATAAAAAATCATAATTCTAACAATTCTTCACATGAATGGAATTTGACGGAGAGAAAATGCAACAACATGATCTTGTTACAAAGAGCCCAGAAATTAGAAATATTCTGCAAAGGATAGGTAGCTTTTGGTTTTGAACTTTCCCTTGTGAGACACTATTGAATTTACTAGCTAACCAGTGAACATGATATCTTGAGCTGTTCAGACATTTGTGTAAACCATGACAATAGAACTCACACAGTATATTACCAAACATAGTTTAGTTCTCACTATTGTGTTCATTTTGGCGGGCCCTGAACAACTTGGTATTTCATGCGTGCTCTAGAGAGTTGTATCCCTTCACAAATCTTATAGAACCGGCCCAGTTCACACTCACATAGGTGATTCGTATGAAGAGTATCTTGCCATACTCCACTAGGTATTCCTAGATATAAGAATCATTAAAAGTATTACTTAAACCTAAAACGCTGCAGACATCACTATTTCATCATAGAAATGGGTACGAGTCTAACTCCCCAATGATCCTTTTGAGTTCTACACAACTCAGTTGTCCCTTTGAACCTAGATCTTGGGATCTCCAATCAACTAGGTTGGGTTGCTGTTGTGGTAACTCTTATTTAATAAGCTTAAGTCCCATTCCCCTCGATGAATTCTCAACTAACTCTCTTGCTAACCCTTTGGTTAGTGGATACACTATGTTGTCTTTAGATTTCACATATTCAATGGAAATAATTCCTTTAGAGAGTAGTTGTCTTACGGTGTTATGTCGACGATGAATGTGTCGTGACTTACCGTTATACATATGATTATGTGCTCTACCTATTGCTGATTGCTATGAAGCACGGACACCTCTCCGAGGGCTCCGTACCAGTGTCAGACACGTGTCGGACACGGACACGCGTCGGACACGCAGTGGACACGTGTCCGACACGCATGGGAGAGTGTCCCATTTTTTTTTTTTTTTTTTTACATCTGGACACGTTTTGGACACGTTATAGACACGTTTGGGACACGCGCGGGGCAATTTCACAGTTTAATAAAAAATTTTGGGGTCAATCTGAAAATAAACAAAAGCAGATCAAATTTGCCCTAATCTGTTTAGCCCTAATCTCTTCGAATTGACTATGGAATACAAGGTAAACAGCTGAGAAAGAGAGAAAGAAAGAAGACCTGACTTCGTCGTACGTCGTCTCTCGTCGATCGTTGCTCCACGTCGGTCGTCGCTCCACGTTGGTCGTCTGTCGTCTCTCGTCTGTCGTCGGCCGTCTGTCGTCAGTCGGCGATCTTCGATCTTCAGTCGATTTGCAGGTACGACTCTTCGATCTTCTTCGATCGCACCCTCTCTCTTCGATAGCCCTCTCTCTCTCTGTCTCATATCTCTCTTCGATAGCTCTCTCTCCCTCTCTGTCTCTGAATTTCTTTTATTTCATTTTTTTTTCCTTTTCCTTTTATTTCTTTCTTTCTTTTATTTCATTTTTTTTTCCTTTTCCTTTTATTTTGATTTTGATTCTGATTTTTATTTTTTTTTTCTTTTATTTTTTTTCTTTTATTAATTTAATTTTTTCTTTTCTTTTTCTTTAATTCTGATTTTGTTTTATTTTATTTTTTTTTCTTTTATTTTTTTTATATTCTGATTTTATTTTTTCTTTTCTATTATTTGAGGATATAATTTTAATAATGTATGTTTATTAATTTTATTATAGGGACCAATTATTAATTCTGAAACAATGGCTACGGGTGGTAGTTCTAATGATATACCTGATGATGAATAAAATGATTTTTTTTAATAATTTTATGGCATATAATAAATAAAATTAATTATATATATTGAACGTGTCCCCGGCGTGTCGTGTCCCCTATTTTTTGAAAATTTGCGTTTTTGCGTGTCCGTGTCGTGTCCGTGTCGTGTCGCGTGTCCGTGTCCGTGCTTCTTAGGCTGATTGATTATTGCAATGTATGCATATAGAAGGTACTGGTTTTGGCCACATTAGAATATCTTCAAGGAAGTGGCAAAGCTATTCTACTTATTCCCAACTTTATCTAAAGCTATAAATTCTGATTCCATAGTAGACCTAGCAATGCAGGTTTGTTTGGAAGATTTCCAAAATATAGCTGCACCACCAAGAGTAAAGACATACCCACTGGTGGATTTTGAATCTCTAGTATCCGATATCCATTTTGCATCACAGTATCCTTCAAGTACTGTTAGATATCTAGTATAATTTAGCCCAATGTTATGAGTAAATCGGAGATATCTTAGAATCCTTATAGTTGCTTTCCAATATTCTACTCCTGGATTACTCGTATATCTA